GTTGGTTGTCAGCCAGAAGCCCCCTTTTTTCTCATTATTTGTCACGAAGCGATTTGTTCCTGTGAGTTTAAGGCTCCTCTGTTGATATGTGCGAGAATTTTCTTCCAGGGTAAACAAAAAGACAAAGTGAAGTAATTGGCTGCCAGTTTGCCATGTAAGGTTTACCAGATTGCCTGTCTGATCGACCACAGGCTCCTTCAAAGACCCGAATATTTGCAGTACGAAACATCAACGCTGACACTCACATGCAGCAGTTATACGGCAGCTAATTTGCTCTCATCTGCGCAAACAAAGCGATTCTCCTTGGATAACAAGATTTTAGGGCAGAGTAAACATCTTTACAACAACAACAGAGTCAAAAAAAAACTCAGCACTGGGCGACACTTTGCTCTCGGGGCAGCATGATAAATAAAATTTGGTCTGATAAATAAATGTAGAGCCTGTGTATTTAAAGGCCTCTGGATGAGATTATTAGCAGCTCACACAGCGATTAAAGCCAACTTAAGTCGCCAGCGGCTGTGTTCCCACTGCCTAATTGAAACCATTCCTTATTTACTCATCTGAACTAAGGGGATGAGAGAGCAAGCAAAGACGGTTTCATTTTCCACTTAATATCCACCGCCTTGTCGACCGCGCGCAAACGCTATAGCATCCCTCTGGGGAAAAGGACAGGGTGTTCACGTTGCACCAAAATGAAGAGGGAAGGAAAGAAAAAACAAAATCACTGATCACAGAAGGATTAATTCCAGTTCTGAAAGGCAGTCACCGGTGGAGGAAGAGGAGGGAGGAAGGAGGAGCAGATGGGGGGGGGGGGTAGACGAATACATTTTACCAGTTTGCGATGGCGACCTATTTCTTTGTGTTAATTCCTCCACGCCTTTTAACTTCTAAAGCTCCTGCATTGTGGCGCAGTAGGACAGAGTGTGATTGAGAAATTTGGAGTATTTTTAGCCAAAGCACTCACTTTCCCTGAGGGGACAGCATTTTTTTTTCCCCCCCTTCCCCTTCTCCTTCTTCTTCTGCCTCTTTAGTGGTTTCACAATGAACCGCTGGATTTGTGCCCGGAAGGAAGTGTTGGGATCCGAACTGAATCAGCTCTCTATCTACATCTCAGGAGCTGCTTCCTGATTGGTGCTGTGCAGGCTCGATGCAGAAATCCCTCTCTTCTCTGTTGCAGTCCTGATGATGTGGTGTAGCATGCTGAAGGCACACCACTGTGTTACAGCCTGCACAGAATGATTGAACAATGTCATGCATACGAGCTTCAGCTGAATTTGTCTGCCGGAGGAAGTGCAAGGTTTATAGGGCAGAGAGAGGCGGCTTCCATGCAAACGGATGAAAATAGTCTAACAACACATTTACAATTATAATCAGTAACAGATATTGATAAGACACAAATCAGATTAGATACAAGCTGATGTTGCCTTTTTCAGCGGTTCAAAGACATTTAAAGGAAAAATCCTAAAAAGTCTAATAGCATCAACAGTTGCTTAAAATGAAGTTCTTATGATGTTTTTAGATTTTCACCTCTCATCATTCGTGCAAGTTTGAGGAAATTTGAGCTGTAGTTCCCAACTTGTGGGTACAGAACAGTACAGTACATTTTTGGTAAAAAAATAGATAATTAATAAAATCAAAAAAAAAAAGATATATACATGTTTTTAAATGTTTTAAGACTAAATAATCTTTAAAAACATTAAAACGTTTTTCTCATATTAAGGCCTATCACTGTGATAGGAACTTTTATGTTGTTGCCGCCGGACCACATCATATTGTTTGCTATCAAAGTCTGATTGTGCGATAGTATCAAAAAGAATAGCCTGTAATAAAAAGGAAAAAGACTGAGGAGACAGATGGTGAATCAAAAAGTTATCTCTCCCCCGTCAAACAAAAAAGGAAAATTGAGCTTCTGCTTTCAGTTCAAACCTGGATGTTTGATCATTATCATCAAAGTAAAAAGTGCTCTTTATTTGGCCTCCATATTGTTGTGAGGTCAGATGCGGGTGGGATTTTTTGGTGGGCCATGAATGGGAAAAGTCTGGGAACCACTGCCGTACACATCTAGTAATACACACACCTCCTTTTCTTCTTATGTCTCTGTATGTTCATGAAGTGGCGTCATCAAGCCTCCAGATAAGTGAAAGGTTTCCGAAGAAGCTGAAACATTTTCAACTCCCACGGATTCATTTGGGTTCATTTGGCATCTGTTTGTGTCCCCTTGCTTGTTTGCAATGACTTTAAATGTCTGTAATCGTGTCACCTTCAAAACGTGTTTGCACTCAGATCAAACGACCAAAGTTTTAGACTTGAAAAATAATAATTTATCTCAAACACATCAAGCTTTGTAAGTGAAGTGCATATTCAACACAGCAGTTTCCTATTCATATTGTGTTTGTCATGTCCGCAGTTATAGCAAGTACAAGTACAATAAACCGCTTTGATGCTTCCTCTCCCTTGATTGTTTAAACATATGAATAATGTATGAAATATAAAGACGCGATATAAAGTAGCAGATGCCATTGTGAATGTAAAGACGTGCAGATCAATCAACAGCAGACAACAGAACAGCATGTATAATGTACACAATGGCAGCAGTAAATCACGCACTAATGTATTACGAACAACAGATCCACATGTTATGATCACAGGAGCTTGTTATCCAAAAAGCTTTGTTTGTACCGGCGGCCATATGTGATAAATCACACAGACGTAATGCAGAACAGCTTTCGCGAGCACAGAGACATTTACAAGACTTTACAATAGAACAAGCAGCGGCGCTCGGTACGTTTGACTGACCGGAATTTGACTTCCTGATACCCTCATGTTGCACCATGGGAAAAAAAACATATTGCACAGTTTGAAATGATGTTAATGTTTATTTATACAGTGATAGTAGCGCTGCCAATAAGAGGCTGGACTAAATTAAAGTAATTAGCTTAGGTTTTACAGGTTCACATACAGGAGTCTGAAAATCTGGATCGAAATGCAACTTCAGAGTAACTTTTCCAGCCAAATTATGGATTATACAGCTATAATACTACGATGGTTCCTCAGACCATGCACACACACACACACACACACACACACACAACAGTGGCATCCTCTTGCCAGTCAGCCCTGCCCTCACTCGCCCTCTGTCTGACCCTCCATTGAACTTCTATACTTTGACTTTTCCCATGGATCTGAACCTTTCGCTCTGTATAGTCTCATTGACTCTAATTAGCCATAGCCGCATTTCCCACGTCTTGTGACAGCTCGTACAGACAACCAGACCTCCTCTCCCACTCCCCCCCTCTCTCCCTCCCTCCCTCCTCTCCTCTCCTCTCCCCGGTCTCTCGTTCTGCATCCAGCTCTTTGTCTTGGCGCTCTCCCACGCGCCCCAGCTGTTTGGCCTGCAGTAAATGTCGCCTCATACAGTGTGCTGCTGGGATCCCAGCCGTCACGCATCCGGGGCCAAGCGTCAGTCTCGATCGTAGTCTCTCTAACTTTCCCTCTCTTCCTCTCTGTTTTGACTACACTCTCATTTCTTCCTCCATCTTCCCTGTCCATCCCCCTCCCGTCTTCTCCACGCTATCAAACTCTTTATTTTCTAATCTAATTGCTCCCATCCCTGAACCTGAACCACTCTCCTCTCCTGCGCTCATTACCATACATCCTGATTGGCTGATGTTGCCTGACAGAAGCTGTGTGTGGCTTGTTGTAACACAGCTGGTTGCTCCCTGAATGAGGCTGTCACCGGCGGCTGTCTGTTTCATCCCCTCAGGAGGGAAGCTGGGAAAGACTAAGTCCATCGCTAACTTTCCTTTTTTAAACAGCTGGCCACTCGCTGATTGCAGCTCATTAATGTCAGGCCCTTGTCTGCTCTACTTGGACAGTTCCTCAGTTGAGCTGAGGGGGAATCAAAGTAAGTGTCAGAATATAGAGAGCTGCTGTGATACAGAGTCTAAGCAATCAACTCTGATTGGATTTTGATCCACTCTTATTAACTCCCAGATTGAGGGGATGGAGTGAAAAGCGTGATTCTAATTGCCAAAACAAACTGGGAACGACTCTAAAATCAGTGTTGGTATCTGAATTGCAAATCTTCACATAGTGTTTTTTTTCCCCCCCTCAGCAATTTTCTTTGCCTACCAGTCTGGTGCCTCCTCATCTCTGTTGTGCTTTATCATTAAAAATACGTGAAGCTAGCAAGGTCTAACTGTACCAGAACCTTCCTACAATAATCATCAATCAACTTCATACATGAATTAAACCGGGGAAATCAAAAAGAGGCTAACTGCTGTGAACAAGGACTTTAATTTGCGTCATTTGTGACAGAAATAGTGTGAATGCTGAGACCTGCAGGGGAAAATGTTTCTTGTGTGGTTTCCTTTTGTCGCTTTGCTTTAGAATCAGTTGAAATTGTATGCACTGGATATTTCTTGCTTCTCTACTTCCTGAGCCGCGTGAAGACGAGGATGAGGAAAGATGTGCTGTACTATTCTTACATTTTTATAAATGTCACATCACAGATGCAACAGGGGAAAGGAGTCCAATTGCAGACACTGGCAGGAAAAGGTAGAATTAAGGGGAGTTTAATAGAAGCCAAAAAGGCAATGAGGGTCAGGCGCAGCGAGGCGCAGGGGTTTGGAAAGGTCTACAGAAATGCAGAGGTCGGGAAAAGGGTCATGAGGCTGAATTACTCGCCATTTCCAATTCAGTTTTGTTGTTCCTAACACAACAGAAAAATTCTCTGTTACAACAGAAGTTACAGCTTTGGAGACTCAGCAGTGATTTGTTTAGAATAAACAGAAGCATAAGTGCATTATCAACATGAACAGCTTCCGCCGTCATGGCCGACAGACAAGGAGTACAGAAAACTCACGTTACAAAAACAAAGAAATCCAAAGGAACCGTAGAAATGAAATGTGTCCAAATAAAGCGCACCAGTGCTTTAAGTCATTGCACACACAAACTGTTTTTGTCTCACACAAGGTCCCTCCCTGTTTGATGTCTCTCAGGTGGGACGTCCACGCTGCGTCTCTCGTCGGTGCGGGAGCTGCCGGGTCAGCTGCAGGAGCTTTACCAGCAGGGCTTCGTTCTGGCAGCCGTTCACCCGTTCATCCACCCCTGCGGTCCGGAGTCCAACAGCCCACAGCACCAGCTGTACCGGGCCATACTGGTCCGACTCAACGACGGGTAAGAGCCAGAAGACAGCCATCTTTGACTTTGATATGTACAATTAAACAAGTACTGAAGTACTTAACCGATACGTAAAATGAATCATTTTTGAGTTTAACTGAACAAAACCTCCCAGATAGCAAAATGAAACTTCTGGTCCAACATATGCCTGGGTCCTCGGCCCGAGTCTGGCCCATATACTTCCACATCTGGGCAGAGACCGGCTGTTATCCTCTGGTATTGTCTGACAGCTGTAAAATTTTCCAGATGTGGAATTAGTCTTCCACATATAGTCTGATTATCATACCGTATATGGGTCAGATTGGGGCCATGGAACCGGGCGTATTCTGGGCCAGAAGACAACAAGCATGGGGCCCAAGAATGAGCTGGATTTATTTTGCTACCCGGGCTGGTTTTATAAAAGGAGCAGATCAGTTCAAATTGATTTTCACCCACATTTTAGGCCCCACTTTTACCCAAATGTTTTTATGTATTTTATTGATTTAAATTCACACATTTAAAAAAAAAAAAAAAAAAATCATAAACATAAGCATTGCTTACAACTTAACACAAGGGTGTTTTTGAGGACTAACCATCAGCGTGACAAAAGGATGCAACAAATATCAGCAGACGTTCTTTATTAAAAGAAATGTATTTTGGCCCTGAGGCAGTCGTCTTTCATGGGCCTCAGACGTCTTAGCTACACCCCTGGGAATAAGACCTTTGTTATCACAAAACGATGAAGCCATTATCGTCACTTAAGAAAACATGCTGAGATTACTAATGCACTGTAATTGGTGTCATTACGCAGAAAAAAACACTTGGTGAGAATCGGCTCTTGCTTTATCTTCATGTGTTGAATGGTACGAAAATGATACACTGGCTGGCTGGTTAGCGACATTAGGGTTTATAAAATAATCATATTGCTTTATATTTCAGATTTTTTTTTTTAATTTTTTATGTGAGATACGTGCATGCAGAACACTTTCCACCTAAAAAAACAACCACCTAAGAAAAACAGTGGAGGTTTGTGTAACATTTCATATCAGTCATTCAACCTTTCCGTGTTGCTTCAGAGCATTACAACATCTGCTTGTGGCTCAGCAAGCCGTCATGTGGGCAGCTGCGTTGGATGTGAGTCAGCAATAGTCTCAATCCTCCATCTCCATCCCTTTCAACGCTCCAGCCAAATCTGGCTGTATGGCCCAAAGTCACTGCCGCCCCCTACATCTGCCCTCCAGCCCTCCAGCCCCGTGCCCGAGCCCCCCTGTCCTGGGAACTGTGGGGGTGGGTGTGCACTTCAGTGAGGGCATGACGCCAGGGAGCGGCGCCAAGGGTGGTTGAAGGGCATGGAGCAGCGGTGATGGACAGTGGAGGGTGGAGGTTGCTATTTGTCCAGACAGAATCTTTCTTAAAAAAAAAACTACAGTAGCTCCTGGGGATATTCAGGATGTGTGTGATAACCCCAGGGGTCATCAAACCTGCTCCGCTCATTCAGGACCACGTACTGTAAAGTCAGCTCAAGTAAAACCATGACACTCAAAAAGACTGAAGCTCCGAGGAGGAGTTTTTTTTATTATTATTATTTTATTTTTCCCTGGTAGCGATGACATGCAGACAGGCAGAGACGAGGAGCTGAAGCCCCAGTGGATGCTCTGTCTGACTCTGACGCCCAGCGAGCATCCAGGGCTCTTTACCAAAACACTGTTCCCTGGCTGCAGGGCATGGATGTGTGTTTGTTGGGCACGAGAGTGTATGTGTGTGTGAGTGTGTGTGTCTCGCCCCTTTTCTGAAGAGATCCAGCACTTAAACGTCATCTCACCTCGCCTCATCTTTTTATGAGCTACACATAGTGACTTAGTTGTGTTTAAATCTGTCTCTGCGTATGTAGAATGTGGTTTTATATGAATGTGTGAATGTGTGTGTGTGTGTGTGTCTGTGACATTATTCTGTATTTCCCCACACCTTAAAACCCATTTTTGAATGCTGACAAACCGTCGCTGTAATTTCTTCACAGCTGAGTATAAACAGGGCACCGCTGCTACTAATCTACATTGACATTTCAGTCATTTAGCTAACGCTCTCACCCACAGCGACAGTACAATAACAAAAAACCAATACCCAATATTACAAGCAACCAAGAGTAAGGGGTGTAATAATCAGAGCCGCTGTGCCCTGACAGTTTGTGCTGCAACCAAAGACGGATCATGTCAAAAAAACAACACAAAAGACATAAAATAAAAACTAAAGAGAGAGTTGCAGTGGAAGGGTTTTGTTGTTGTTGTTGTTATGAAATAATGAAAGGAGGATCAGGGCTGTGATTCAGAAGGGAGACAGATAATGACCAGAGGGAGTTTACATGAATTTAAGATGAGGTGAAATAGGATGAAACTTTTTGGATGCTCGTGGGAGAGTTGTAAGAGATAATGTAAGGTTTCAAAGTAAAAGAAGATAACTATAATACAAGCAAAGCAAGCAGTAAACAAAAAAACATAACAAAAGATACCAGCAGTAAGAATGAAAAAAAGTCAAAAAGTAATAAGTTAGAAGGGAAGCAATTAATTGGTTTGTGCAAATGTATGTTGATGATAATTTAAATTCTCATGTGGAGTGCAGCAATTATGTCCTGGGGAAAAATTGTTTTCAGGTTAGTCCCAACTGCCTAACAAGCCTGAGTCTTTTCCCTCATCCCTGCTGGTGTTTTTGTTGGAGATATCGGAGCCTGTTTTCTTCCCTTCAAAAGAACCCGTCCGCTGTTCTCCTTGTCTTACTGTATGAGAAAGCAAACCTCCACAGTCCTGAGATAATTCATCACAGAAAACATGACAACTTAATTTGGGTTTGTCAAACTTTCTGTTTTATCATTATTTACTGTAATTTTGCCGGAGTTGAGCGGCGCAAGGCGTTACGATATTGCCTGCTTACTGTCAATCACCTGACAATCCTTGCAGGAAAAAGTGGAAGAATCTTTTTTTAAGTCCTTACATCCAGGCACTCTTATGTGAGACATCTTTGTTCACCTGGGCGTCATTAAGTTCAAGATAAAGTTTATAATTGAAAACATTAATATTAAGTAATTCATTATTTTTTCATTACATCAAGTCCTCATGTCTAAATGATGAAAAAAGGCATCAATCCTGAGCTTCTGTTTAAGATTATTTTGTGGTGTTATAACTACCACCTTCACTCTGACAAGTCATTACTGGCACAGCACAAGAGTATGTCGAGAAAACATAACCATAGGCTGTTTACAGTGTTTGAACCAAGCGGCAACCACCAGGGCTGAAAAGTGAATCCAACATGGAGGTGCCAAAAGTTGTAGTTCCTTGAAGAGCCACTTGAAGTTGGCTCCAAAAGTGAGTCGATCCCCGTAGACTCCGATGTTCAAACACCCAACTTTACAGCAGAAATAAACATGTTTACGGCCTGGTACAAAAAACGGTTTTGGTCTCTGTTAGAGTGAGGGACTGCCATGATGGCGATGGTGGAGCAGCCCACTCTGAGCTTCAAAACTACTATTCAGAAACCTGATTCGGCAACAAACAAAGCACGAATCAGTTTGTGTTTTCATCAGATGTCTTCGTGTCAAATGTGTTCAAGAGGGAAGATAGAGGATATGACAACATTAAATAGTTAATCAAGCACAATAACTCTGATACATCACAGCAATTCGATGATGCCCTCCACTTATGATGGTGTTCAAGTTGTCTTTTAACAAATGAATTTGCCTATTCTGATCCATGTGGACCCTGTGGTGTTTTTATCAGCTGCTCTGGTGATAGAGATAGAGAGTGACATGGAACAATGGCCACCGTCTAGACTTCTTTGCATGCTTCATTATTTATTTTTTAGGCTTCCTGCTTGAGAATAGGCATTTAGAAGAACCACGAGCAGGTACCACAACATCAAGATGTATTTAAATCATTATTTATTATTTACCTGTAGGTTTTGAACACTTGAACTGCCACTACAATTTAGAGAAGTAGTTGATTTCATCCAAAACCTTCAGCTCACCGTTATTGATATATGCAGAGATATGAGTTTAAAGCTTGATGACTGGATGTTTCTTACTGAGACATTAACATCTCTCTTTACATTTTCACATATACGTTCTAACTAAGTTCATCTTTCATACTGATAATTCAAGCCAGGTGTTTCATGCATATCCAAGCCTTGGAACAGCCACTCACTTACCATTATCTATGTGGAAAATGAACCTGACGGGTGCCTAAAATAACTCCTGACTTTGCAGCTTTGTTGCAAATGCGCATAAAAACGGGTGACTGGAACGCACTTATTGTGGGGTGAATACAAGGCAACCAGCAGCATTTTAGAAGGTCATATAGTTGAAATGCAGGGCACCTTATCTGCTCTCCCCTCCTGCAGATTGTGTCCATTAGTAATCACCTCCCATGCTGTTGTGTAGAACACCTCAGATTCCCTTTCAGCACGCAGAGACATTCGTGCAAACAATACAAACACTCCTCAGCTCTTCTTACTGCTGCAAAACTGGACAACAGAAATATTGATTGTGTATTAAAAGGCTACAGCTGAACGGACAACATATCTCTCCCTTCTTTTTAAAGACGTAGTCGCCTTGCTACAGAGCAAAAGACACCATGAGGGGAGAGTGAGGCAGACATGAAAATCACAGCTGAGTAGAGAGAGCAGGGAAGACAGAAGGAGGCTGAATGGGGTCTGAAAAAGGAGAGAGGGAGAGAGAGAGAGATATTGAGTGAAAAGAGCAGAGGAGTCTACCATCCTTTGATGGCCCTGGCCGAAAGCGGGGCCCAGGCTTTATCTCCAGCGTCTGTCACCGTGGAGACAGCTGCTCACATCAGCACCAGCACAGGGGAATCCAAATCTCCCCCAGGGAAAAAGGAGGGAAGAGAAAAAAGACAAACCAAAAAGCGGAGCATCTCCTCTCCTGCTCCCTTTTGCTGTCAGACCCAGGAATCAAAAGGAGAAGGCGATGAGGTGGGGGTTGGTGTCGGGAGGGGGGAGGGGGAGGTGGGGTT